GATCATAGCTGCTAATATTACATTGCTGAGATTCGTCTTCAAGTAGAAAGAAAGTAAAATCAGCGTTAATTTTCTATTTTACATGTGTTCTAGATGCAGTTTACAGCGATAATTGATCTCGAGACTAACCAGAAGGATACCGATTGATGACAATTTCAAGTGAATAATGCTTCCGAAGTGCCGTTGTAATCAATTCCCACGTGGGAAAGAAATTTGCATCATTAAGGGTCTTGTTAGCGTTTTAATGATCTTAAGTGTGTTATGCGGCGGAACTGACATCTGAATCTAGCACTTTGAAGCTTTGAATTACCTCATTTTCCAATCGCGTTCTTGTTCGTAGTTGTTGCTCTAATCAAATGTTCGTTTATCGTGGGTACAGCAACCTCAAACAAACATGGTATAATTGTATTTAACGTAACTTCTAAAGATTTAAAATTTATGTTATTGAATTAATCGAAGTGGAATGTTGTCGACACAAGTATAATGCCACATGTAGGCGGGTGCCCAGACGGGGACCCCACCACTGGGAGAAACATTCTGAGATTTGCAATAGGCAACAGGTCTTTGTTATCTCGTCAAGGTTATCTGGGCGCAAACTGTGTTCACAGATTGTACAAAAGAGACACAAGCGACAAGCACATTATAGTAAACAATTAGCAATAAATTAAACTGCATCATGCCGGTGTTTCGTCCTTCGAGAAATCGTCAGAAAAAGTTCGTGTTGGCTACGTCTATGGTCTTGCCCATGCTTCTTTTATCCGACATGACGACAGACCAAAAGAGAGTTACGTTTAGACGAAGTATATTCCATATCAGCATAACCTTCTAAACAAAATTTTGGAACAAAATTCGGAAAATTAAATCGCAAGAAATCTTAAACATATTAAGAAATTAGATGAAAGTAATACCACAAACAGTTTGCACTCTCTCCAAGCTTCAATGGCAACGGAAGTGACGTCACCTCTGACGTACATCGTGGTCGATAAATGTTAAAATTTTAATCCTCTGTAGGCCCACAACGCAATAACTGAAATATTTTGGCCGACATTATAAATCAATGCTCTCTTTGGAAACAAAATCAATTAACATATTTGTAACAGAAGTATGTGATAATTGCCTATATTTTCCATAGCCTTATATAGGAATTTAACATTCCAGTGATGTCATATTTCTCGGTGAATACAATCATTGATGCAGAGCCAGACATTGATCTCAACAATTTTGTTAGCATGCACTCCTTGGATCAATGTGACTTCTTCCGTAACTGTCTAGACGTTTTTGCGTTCATCTTGCACGGTGTCCTGACGCGCGTTCAACCGTACGATGTATACTAATGCCGAACATTAGCTATCTCACTTAACATTTACTATACACAATAGAGAGCGCTCTCAGGAAGTTTGGTGACCACGAATTTTCATTGCTTTTTCATGGAAGCAAAGTATTGAATTCACAATTATTATTACTGAATTTATATACCGATCAACACAGAAAAAATATTAAAAACAACAAGAAAATACCGACATGTAAACATCATCATAATCAAAACCAGGATACCTCTGACCAAGTACAAGGAGAATAAGAACGGATGTTCCGGAAGGGAAACCGTCTTCTACTTCATTGACGACAATTAAATTAAAAATCAGCACAGATTGAATAAGGAAAGTCGTTCTGTGGCGAGATCTTGTTTTTCACCACAAAACATTCTCAAATTGTCATGGAAGATGTTCACTGAAGGTCATACCTCTACAAATAGATATTAATGATATCGTACAATCGTTTTTGTTGTTAGATATGCAAACAAGTGTTTCATAGTATTTCAGAGGGCAGGAACCTCTAAGTCATGCGTCTCTTACCGCCTTGTTGTGGGATATACAAGACCTAGTCCATGTCAATTTCAACCTCCAAACCGGGTCGTGACATTATATCCGTATTGCTCCCGTCTCTTGTGATTGATATCTACAACAGTGCCATAACATTGGATTACCATTCATCAGACACGTGTCACGATACTGAGTACTTCCGGTGTAAAACTGAACAGCATTTCCTAGAACATCTATATTGATGATTAAAATGTGCAACATTCATACTTCGGTTTTGTACTTTTGATTATTGTCCACAAAGGCTAACTCTGTAAGGATTTTGTTGAGGACAAATCTAATTGCTTTAACTGACATTTGTATGTTACATTGAGACCTCTATAAAAACAATTTCAGTACCAGATATATCTAAGGGATGTATTTTATTGGTAAGGATTCCTTCTGTAATTGCTGATATAAACTAAACCAATGCGATCATCTATCATCATTACCCTGCAGGTCCTGTGAATTTGTCAGCAAAAAGTACTGTTATAGAATGCTTTACGACAGCAAGGTTCCTCTAAGGACCAATCTGTGTTAGCCTGGTGTCGCCACCTTGTCAATTACGCAACACCGCTTCCTCAAACAGGTGACCCCAAGCTCATTCATTTCCGTTCACAGGACTGGAAACACTTTAAGACAGCCGGGTTATTCGAAGAAGAGTTACAAAATAAAACTGCTTTATCCCTGTGCCAATATGTGCTGCAAGTGCAAATCAAAAGTACACGGTGGTTGGTTTTGAAATCGATGAAGACATATACCACTTTCACAAAATATCAGCCGTGGTAACTTTCTATGGTACTTGTATGTTGAAAACAAATATTGAGGATCTGACCAGACTTTGAGAATCCTTTTTTTTTCTGAGAGTGCTTTGTCAAGAAGATGACAACTTTCCCTTGCAGGTCTTCGATCGATTCATCATGGGGGACGGATTAACAAAATACTTATTGACAACGATATAAATCATGTGAAATTTCTTATAATTAAAACAGTTACTCCCGGGAAATGTTAATAAATAAGGTAGCTCCCAATATTTTGTTCTATTTTTCTTTTTTATTTTCATTTAATCCATCTCGCGTTATCGCCATCGGTTAGGTTAGTGTAGAAGGCAGAATTTTATGACTTTCTACAGGAAGTAATTTTATTTTATGTCCTTACTTTGACCAGTAAGAATGTACATGTATAGGGATCCTCTTTATCTACACACCAAACACTTATACTCCGATAACCACGTTTAGGATCTTTATTTCATTTTTCTATTCCAGTGTCTTCCATAAAACTTTTCTGATTTTCTTAATATGATGGTGACTGAAAATGATGGCGCTAATCGTAGAATCAAGCTAACCATATCCCTTTGTGTTGTTCGTCATCTTGCCAGATAAAACGAGACAATACAGAGAGGTATTTTTCTTTGGGAGTGGGGGGAGGGGGGTGCTAATTTCAGATAATATGGAGGTTGGGGGAAAACAAAAACACATTGAAAGGAAAATAAAAGGCCAATGGGCTTAACTGTCACCTGAGTTTTAGAACTTATCCACCAGTCCAAGCTTTGGGGCAGACAGAATACAACTGATATAGGCATACTTTGTTTGAAGGCTTAATCTTCAATTAAACGAAACTGATAATTCTGTCTGTTGTTGAAGTTAAGCATATTTGACCCCTGTGACTTTGAATGAAGGTCAAGGTCATTCATTTGACCAAACATGTTAGCCCTTCATCCTAGCATACTACTGGCCCAATATCATGACTGTAGAACCGTTCAAAGATTCAAACACATTTGACCTCTATGACCTTAAAATAAGTCAAAGTCATTCATTTTAGCAAACCTGGTAACCCTTCATCCTAGAATGTTACTGGCTTAATATCATGACCCTGGATAATTTGGTTATAGAAAGAAGTCGTTCAAAGATTTTTGATCCATTTGACACATGTGGCTTTGAAAATGGGTCAAGGTCATTCATTTGAACAAACTTCATAGCCCATTATCCAATCATTCTACTGACTTAATACCATAAACCTAGCACTTTTGGTTATTGAGAAGAAATTTAAAATGTAAATTGTTTACAATAGAAGTCGCACGAGGGACGATGCCGGTGGTCTCAGGTGGTATTTGAATTCCATAGAAAAAATAATAGGTTTTGTATTGATTTGCGTATGAAAAGTGCGAAATATTTTATTAAGAATCCGCGAAAATTTGGACCATTGAAAAAACCATATTAAGTACAATATTGGTTGTGTAATGTTTAAAGGAACCAAAACACATACACGAAAGACGTTTGCCAAATTTTGTATTTTTTGTGAGACATTTATTTTCGTTTATTTCGTTGATACTCTTGTTATACGATTTCATATGTTCATAAACTTTAAAATCAGTATAATTAGATTTAAGCAACATTTTCCCATGAGAGTGTCAGTGATATAGTATTACCAACACGCGGAAATTGAACACCACGAAGTTTTATGATTTTACAGTAACCACATACAGCTGGTGATGTAGAGAACGCCGCGGTTTTTAGATGACGTTTTACAAAGAAACACTTACAATGCTCTGTTTACCTAAATATCTCTCTTAAAGGCGTTGTCATAGTATAATGTTTTACAAAGAAATTGTATAAACACAAATTCCCCAGGATTACGGGAACACCGTGTTAAGAACCGCCTAGGGTTACGTTATAGATATACAGGAACGTATTTATGAGTACACGGTTCACGTGGGTATGGTTACTCATCCTTAGCCAACAACCTGTCCGTCGATCGATGACTATCAATGCTTGTAGAAGCTTCATACCTCTCTCCTCTTCACTGTAACTAGCCGGGTATTAAACTCAGGCCGTGTGTTGTGTCTCGGGTCATTATCATGTAACACGGAAATCCTGGTGCTTCTGACACCACAAACAAAGCAACCCTTCGTCAATATGTAGCTAATCCATACAGTAGCATGAAGCATCATACACGAAAGTATGGTTCGGAGGAACAGTGAGATATGATTGTGTGCCCGTGTGTTATTCCTGTACCTCAGGTGTGTCTTAACTTCAATTGTGCTAACACGATCAAATTGGATAAAGTATTTCTGTGATCAAATGTAAAATTATATCGTTAATCAACAACCGCTGTTATAACACTGGTATAACTTATGTATCGATAATGTATCTTGCGCCTTCCAGTATTCACTTTACACAATGTACTGGGGAAACGGATGTCGGGGATATAACGAAAGACATCGACTTGGAACGCCTGACGGCAAAGTTCGAGAGTAAGGATACACTTCCAAAAATCCAGGTAGTCGAAAAAGATGGTCATTATTTCACCTTAAATAACATACAGCTACAAGTGTTTAGGAAGCTGGAGGAAAGGGGACACTGTCAAAATGTCAAAGTGGAGGTCATTGCTACCAAAAGGGTGCCTGTGGCTATCAGGGACTTAATGATCCTCCCTCCGGATTTCGACCGAAATGGTAAGTACCACAAGAACGACATTTAATTAATATCACATGCAATTTATAAGTACTGTATTGTTATTATTCTGATAGAGGTTTAGAAGCAAATTTTAGCAGAGGCTGTTTTTGACAGAAATTTACCTTTAACGAACCCTATGTGAATGTTTCTAGTGACAAAATTGGTATAGGTTACGTTAGAATGTCAAAATTGGTAGAGGTTACGTTAGACTGACAAAATTGGTAGAGGTTAAATTAGAATGTCAAAATTGGTAGAGGTTAAATTAGAATGTCAAAATTGGTAGAGGTTACTTTAGAATGTCAAAATTGGTCGAGGTTACGTTAGATTGTCAACATTAATTTTCCAGTAAATAAACCAGTTGCCGTAATTAAGACGTATCCTTTGTAGTTATGGGATTTCTATGCTAAAATGTACTGTAGTGGAGCGTGTTGTTTTGTTCGCATGGACATTAAGTAGGCTATTCAAACATCAGCGGACCGACACGTCCTCACTATACCTGAACTTAACGAGGTCGTCCACATTGTATTACACATCAAAGCAACTCAACAGAGCTTGTTAGAAGAAAACTAATGTGTGACCAACGTTTTATGTATTGCTAGTTAAAACTTCTGCCTGAAATTGGCCAGGAATTTAAACCAGTAATGTCGAATGCTATGTATTGTTCTGTCAAATGCTGCAATCAATCGGACATAAACTGACGTTACCAAGCGTAGCTTTGTGTAATAATTTAAGAATAATTGTTGGTCAATTATATTAATGTATTGTGACTTTACTTATTCTTTAGCGTTTACCAACCTTCCAGGGGTTAATTATGCTATACTCTACCTTTTTCTTAATGATACATCTTTGTACTCTGTACTTTGTAATATCGAATTAATTTAATTTTGTTATTCTACGGTTCCTTAAAGATGAAAGTTTTTACCAACGAATCTAAATATTGGAAAATCTTCTGCTGACTGTTGGAATAAACTATCTCATATCCAGGCAACAGCGAGTTATCATTTAGGGAAAAGACTCTGACAATTTAACAGATACTTTATTAATATTATTTGCTGGGAGCATATTTAACATTAACGACCTAACGCAAATACACAAACAATCCAAAATCGACCAAACAATCGAAACAATTGCGAATTGTGCATTTTAAAACTTAATTCAACATGTATTATTAAAATAATAATGATAATAATAGTGATAAACTTGATTTATTTTACAAAAATTGCGATGTAAGTTTTTTAAACTTACATTTATCACTCTTGTTGGCTCGGATGAAAGCGCGCGAGGGTTCTTAATATGGAAGGAATCCGGAGAACCTGGGGAAAACCCATGTTGTCAGGCAGGTGACTCCATACCTTTTCACATCTATTCCGGGAATCGAACCCCGAACGGCTAGGTAAAGGCGAGTGCGGTACCACTGCGCCACCCGACCACCCTATTGAATAATGAGAATTACACGAAATTGATTTTCTTTTCTATTATATAGAACATTTAAATTCTAGTTAAATATCTTCAGATTATAATCGATCAAACACATATAATTTCATCCAAATGTTTGTTATTCATACACACTAAACTCTACAAATTTGAAGTTTTTTTTATACACCTTTCTCTTCAAGTCACAGTTAGTCTTCCACAATTCTATACTTGATTTGATATTTGAAAAATGTGTAACAACCGTTAGAAGACACCGAAAGGCTAATATTTAATCAACCGTTTTCGAATGATAGCTGACAAATGGAGATCTGTTGAAAAGAAATCATTACGTGAGAATACAAAAGCGGATAGAGGAATCATGCAGAGTAGCAAAAAAAAAGGTCATAACAAAATGTCATCATGACTTTTTCTTAAAGCAATATATCCAACCTCGGGAGACAGTATCGTAATTTCCGTTTCTTGGCACGTTTTTCACCACATGTTCCTAATATACTATATACTGTGGAAGTATACCATGTAATCTGCGTAAACATAGAATCCGCACTTCTAAAGTTAGACATCACAAAATATTCTATTCGATAAATGCTGTCTTGTCACGTGAACGTTGAAGAACTAACCATTCGATATGGTTTTATGTTCTCAGAATCCATATGATGCGGTCAGCTATTGCTGGTCAGTTTTTTCTAGAATGTAAGCTTTATGATAGAGTAAGAATAACGTTTTTTCAAAGTATAAACATGTTGAATATAGATCAAGTGAATTTACATCTATTTTTATTTGGAAATGAAAATCTGTCCCTAACCACCAATACAGAAGTATTCAGACACGTGCAAATTTCTATCAATTCCAGCAACAGATTTTAAGTAAAATGTACCAACTGTTAAATATATTATGTATGTCTTGTTAATGTTATCATGTAAATATTATCATGTATTGTATTAGAGGAAAAGGCGGTCATAAGTTGAAATAACTTGTGCCTAATCCTCTGCTCAATTTTGGGGCAGTAAATATGTTTAAATCAAATCAAAATATTGCTGATATTTTCACATGTAAAAAAAAGTTATTAACATGAAACGAATTTTAGAATTTGAAATGTCTTACTCTTTATTCATTCAGAAAAAAATAACGGAGCAAAAAACCATAAGCTACTTTCCTAGAAATTTTACAGATTTATTCATCATCGTTGTTCTACTTTATGAGGGATAAAATAGTGCCCATCAAACACTGTTTTATCGTTTCGTCAATACGGTTTAGTTTGAAAAAATCAATTCTGTTTTCATGTCTGGGATGTTCGATAGGTTGTAGCTAAATATTTCAAAAAGCAATAAAACATATCGATTGGTTCCCCACCATGAATTGAGTTCTGAGTTATCGTTCCTCTGAAGAGTAGGTGAGAAAACTTTTAAAGGGATGGTGTCGCAATGTTTATCAATATTCAAATTTACCATGGTCTTTGATACGCTTAAATGTAATGCACTGACACGCTTTTTCTGAAAACGTCATGTCGGATATGATCGAATGAGGATTTCACATTGTAGAATGATAAAGTGATAAATGCTCGGATCCTGCTGTGCACTTCATGTATTCGTTAGCTGCTACTGGAAATTGGTCTTTAGTTATAAGGATACGAAACATTACATCTTTTCAATTCCCATAATACAAAATATTGGTGTTAATAGAAGGCAACTTAACACTTACGTTTCGTTGTTTAAGTATATGATAAAAAATAACGTTCTGTCTTCAAATAAGAAAACGTTAAGCATTATATTGATTGGTTTCTGTCACAACGTTATTAAAGTTAATCGTCCGAACAGTGTGGTGTTGCGTTGTGTCATACGACCTGCCGTACCAAAGCGGTAGCACCATGCATACATGTAAACGTGTTTTTCTAAAATTCAAAATGTCATGTACAGATGCTGCAAGATTTTAGGTTAGCCCATCACATACACGCTATTTTTCTGCATAAATATTCACATAAAGACATCAAAACCCGTCTATGTAGATTTTGATGTTTCCTTCGATCAATTTTAAATGCGTATAGTTTGCCTGCTATGTATTAAAATCTAGACCTTCATAGATTGTGTTGTACAGAAGTGAATGGGATTATGTTGTACAGAAGTGAATTAAATTATGTTGTACAAAAGTGAATGGGATTATGTTGTACAGAAGTGAATGATATTATGTTGTACAGAAGTGAATTAAGTTATGTTGTACAAAAGTGAATGGGATTATGTTGTACAGAAGTGAATGATATTATGTTGTACAGAAGTGAATTAAGTTATGTTGTACAAAAGTGAATGGGATTATGTTGTACAGAAGTGAATGATATTATGTTGTACAGAAGTGAATTAAATTATGTTGTACATAAGTTAATGAAATCATGTTGTACAGAAGTGAATTAAATTATGTTGTACATAAGTGAATGAGATTGAATGATATTATGTTGTACAGAAGTGAATTAAATTATGTTGTACATAAGTTAATGAAATCATGTTGTACAGAAGTGAATTAAATTATGTTGTACATAAGTGAATGAGATTTTGTTGCACAGTAAGTGAATGAGATTAGGTTCTACAGAAGTGAATTAAATTATGTTTTATAGCAGTGAAACTATGATATTATATTTTTGAAGAATTTTCATCAACCTTACCATTCGTTGATAAAATGACTCGAACCAATCATCCTTAGAAACCTATATTTTGGTTTAGTCTCATTTTGCTTAACGTCCTGTCAGTAGGTCTGATGGCGTGATTTAAATGGAAAATCGTCCGTTGACATTGATAATAAATTGGCGAAGTAGTTCGTGAAAATTGCTTATGAAAATGGTCCAGAAATCTTTTATGAAATTATTTAATGATCCATAGATATATTGATGTATGAACCTGCGGCTTAAGTTATCATCATCAAATACGAACACACATGAAGCTGAATGTTGTGGAGAATCAAATAAATGAATACTCTAGTACACAATTATTGTTTTACATATCAGCGTAATTCTGACGACCTTTAGAGATATTTTTCATTGTTCAACGTTAATGGATGACAGACGTTTGAGTGCGAGATAAGAACGTAAATGTCATGCCACTACATTGCTATCATTCTACGTGCATGCATTGTCCGCTTTATTTGCAGTGTGAATACAATCGAACCGGGGGATATACTAATTGCTCGAAACGCCCGTCCTTGTGTGGTTATTATCCGTGTCCTAGTAACATAATCACATAATGTTTTATCTCCGCGCTTTATTTGGCGTCATTCTAAAATGCGGGTCGGTTTTAACAAGATAAATATTCAAGACTTGTACTCAACATTTGTGTACTCTTAAGTGTTTGTTAAGCAACATGTCTTGTTAAAACACACAATAAGCATTGACGTACTGCTCATTAAAAAAATGAATATCTTGTAATGACGACCAAAAAAATCTTTACAAATAGCATTATTAGGATTTTCTTTTCTGTCTCCTTTCTATAAACTGTTTTCTCGTTGTCTGTCTCTTGCTTTCGTTAGCCAGGTCCCTATTCTTTGGGCGAATAAGTTATCCAAAAACTGACATGAAGTGTGGAAA